ACGCTGTTCGCCGCCTTCGGAGGTCTGTTGATTAACGTGACGGATATCCCTGACTGGCTGGTATGGCTGCACTACATTTCTCCCGTTAAATACGCGTTTGAGGCGATGATGAAGATCTTTTGGAAGCGTGTGGACTCCGTCGATTGTGATTGGACATTGGAAGGTTGTGTGGCGCTTACGGGTGAAGGAGTACTCAAGTACTACAGCATGGAAAACCGCTCAGCGTTGGGCGATACGTTGATCTTATTCGCGATTTGTTTTGCTCTATTCTTCGTCGCTTTCTGGTTCCTATTGGTACTAGCGAACAAGCGTATCAGTGGTCTAATGTGGCGTTATGATTGGAGCTTCAAGGGGGTACTTGGTAGTAAGCACCAACGTGTTGGAAATGCTATTGTGAGTGAGAAACACGCGGCTACACGTAGCAGTACACGGGTGATGGAGCGCAAGAGCCACAATTCGTCTGATAACTACTACATTCAAGTGGAGACTCCACGTGTCGGAGGTGGAGTCAGTGACGTTCCAAGTATCGCACTGGGCTGGAGCAGCTTGTCACTCAAAGCTACAGATAGCGAGACGAAGTATCTGATTCATGACGCCAGTGGATCGGCTAAAAGCGGTGAACTTCTGCTGATCACAGGACCTTCGGACGACGCGAACGTGATGTTATTGGAGAGTCTTCGTGGTCTCCAGAAGAAGGTGAAGGGTAAAATTACGCTGAATGGTGTGGTCAGCTCGTCACGGAAAGTTTCTGAGCACGCAGCGTATGTAACTCGTGGCGATCTCTTCTACGAGACGTTGACAGTGGAAGAACATCTACACTTCCAAGCGGAATTAATTGCTGGTGACGTGGAGATTGAACGCGTGGAGATGGTTCTGGAAGAGTTGGAGCTGACGTCAAAGCGTCATGTGCTTATTCGATACCTGTCTGTGGCTGACGCTAAGCTGCTGGCTATTGCGACGTCACTGTTGAGTAACCCGTCGATCTTACTGGTTGAGGAACCCACATGTGGTATGGACTTCTACTCATCTCAACGTGTTGTGCTCAAGTTGCGTCAACTCGCTCGTACAGGACGCACTGTAGTGGTGACGATGACACACCCGTCTTCACATCTGTACGCTCTGTTCGATACGTTGTACCTTCTCGCAGATGGAGCCGCTGTCTACCACGGTAAAGTGAGGGAAGCTGTGCCGTACTTCGCCTCACTGGGGTACCAGTGTCCGCAGTACATGAGTCCGGTGGACTATTTCATTCGTCAAGTGGCAGTGGAAGGCAAAGAAAACACGACGTTATTCAAGGAGGCTTGGAAAACCCGTAATTCCGAGCTACCGGTCGATACTGAGACCCAAGAAGCTCAGGATGTTGCGACTGCTAGACGCCGCATAGGAATCTGCGGCCAGTTGTCTCTACTGTTCCATCGTCACATCCTCCGGCTCCTTCGATACCGTGTTGTGTTCGGCTGGCATGCGTTCTGGATGGTCATTCTGGGTGTCATCTTTGGCCTGATCTTCCTGCAACTTGATCTCGACAACCAGCAGGATATTCAGAACTGGGCTGGCGCTTTCTTCTACATCATCGTACTACAGATGTTAGTGATCGCGTACAGAACCTTCGTGTTCCTGCCACGTGAGATGGCGATCGCTGAACGGGAACACCGCTCTGGTGGGTACTACATGGCGTGCTGGTACTTGACCAAGGTGTTCGCTGAGCTGCCAGCGATGCTGGTGCTGTCCGTCCTGCTATTCGTTCCGGCGTACTTGTTGATTGGCATCGGCCACGGCTTCAAGTTGTACTTCTACATGCAAATCGTGATGTGGTTGGCTGGCTGGAGTGCCGCTGGAATGGCCAGTCTGCTGCTCGGCCTTATTCGTCGTGTGGGTGTGGCGTTGGTTGTCTACATGTTGATGTTTATTCTCTTCGTG